TCACCCTGACTTTAGCCTTTTCAACCAAATTTTTCTGCAATTTTTCTTATTATAAATTCTTCAATAATTCTTGAAATGAACCCTAATTTTGGAACAAACATACAAAATTTGAGTCAGTTTTCAGTTTTGACTCAAAAAATTCAGCTATTTTTTGGCCCAATATTCAAAATAAATGTGCAGACTATAAACAGAACTATTTTGTGAATTTGTGATGAAAAGAGTGAACTGGTGGTAAAAAGGTTAATAATTCAGAGCAATAGCAAATCTGGACAAATCTTCAAATGTTTCTAAATATTTTGCATATATTTATATGGAATACTTCACATAATAATCCCAATAAAGCTATGTGAATGGTCTCATAGTGAATCTTTAAGACAATCTGAGGTCACTTTGGTGTTTGCTGGCTTTATAGTTCCTCTGTGGATTGTCATTTAAATTCTGCTTCCTTCACCTTTATAATCCTTGCTGATTTATACAAAATTCAGACATTACTGTAGAATACTTTATTTCCGCTTGGAATTTATTTTCACTATTTTCGCTGATGGGATGATTCCGTGAAAATAAAATCCAGCGAATATACTTTTTTCCCTATATTTCACATTAAACTCATGAAAAATCAGTGAAAATAAATTCCAAGCAAAACGCCCAAAAAGCCTTTTCAGCGAAAATTAATTCCAGCGAAAATATAGTATTCCACAGTATATCCATACTTGATGTATCCTTCAACAGACATTAATGAGTGTGCCAGTGATCCTTGTCAGAACGGGGCTACTTGTAATAATATGCAGAATATGTATACTTGTACGTGTCTCCAAGGATACGGTGGTGTCAATTGTCAAACAAGTAAGTACCGGTAGTATCACGACACGAATAGAAAAGATTCATTGTAACGATGAGGTCATTTTATGACTACTAACATGTTGCACTTGCGAAAAGGAAGGAGGCAACACAGCCGATCATTCACAATGGATGTTGTAAGTCCATTGGCATTTGAGTGACATTCTCAACTGTATTCACGTTTATCTTATTTCAAAGTAGGTATACTCCTAATGTGTGTTAAATGACAGTTTAGCTTCTTATATTTACCTATATATGTTGTTTATATGTATATTATTATGACGTTTGATGTGGCGCAGAATTGTCAAATATTATTGCTTGATTGAAAAGTACACAAGAGTCTGCACAATTATGCACATTATCCATTGGCGGCCATATTTACACATTTTGTAAAAAAAAATCTTTTTAACTATCAGGCCTAACTATCACTGATCTCACTATTTCAAGCAAAAACACGTCGATAATTGACTTCCAAGAATAATTAGAAATACATGTATTGATATCAGAGATAATCAATAATAAATTTATTTAATGTGCTCAGATATCAACGAGTGTGCCAGTTTTCCATGTAGTAATGGTGGGACGTGTATTGATGACATTAACCAATACCAGTGTACATGCAGACCAGGATATGCCGGTGTTAACTGTCACCTTGGTAA